AGAGAGAGAGAGAGAGAGAGAGAGAGAGAGAGAGAGAGAGAGAGAGAGAGAGATCCGGACCCCACACCTCTCTCTGCCAGCAGGGGGGTCCGGCGTTTCACAAACGCCGGACCCCCACCCCCCCACACCTCTCTCTGCCAGCAGGAGAGGGTCCGGCGTTTCACAAACGCCGGACCCCCACACCTCTCTCCCAGCAGGGGGGTCCGGCATTTGTGAAACGGAGGACCCTATCACCCTTCGATGTTGAAGGGAGAGAGAGAGAGAGAGAGAGAGAGAGAGAGAGAGAGAGAGAGAGAGAGAGAGAGAGAGAGAGAGAGAGAGAGAGAGAGAGAGATCCGGACCCCACACCTCTCTCTTCCAGCAGGGGGGTCCGACGTTTCGCAAACGCCGGACCCCCACCCCCCCACACCTCTCTTTGTCAGCAGGGGGGGTCCTGCGTTTCGCAAACGCGGGACCCCCCTGCTGGTAGTGAGAGGTGTGGGGGTTCGGCATTTGCGAAACGCCGCACGCTCTCCCCCTTCGATGGCGATGGGGGAGAGGGTCCGGCGTTTCGCAAACGCCGGACCCCCACACCTCTGTCTGCCGGTAGGGGGATCAAGTTAGTGATGTGGCGATGACACCCTCCCACTTCTTAAACGACTGGTCCCGTGGGTGGTGCGCATACAATATCTGTGATAGTACGATGCGCAAGCCCAGTGGACCAAGGAGGGAGGGTCCAGCGTTTCACAAACACTGGACCCCCACTCAACTTTGTGCACCAAGGGATGCCCTCCCTGGAACGGTCACATGCGAGGGACTGCTGTTAGGGGCTGCAGTTGGTGATGTGGTGATGATACGTTGTCCCTTTTTAAAGGACTGGTCCCGTGGGTCGTGCGCAGGCAATATCTGTGATAGTACGATGCGCTAGCGCAGGGGAGTTCGTGTGCAGAGGCTGTATAACCGGCTCCGCTCTGCGCCCTCATGGGGTCCAGCGTTTGCGAAACTCCGGACCCTCTCCTCCTTCGCCACAGGTAGGGGATCCAGTTGGTGATATGGTGATGGCAGTTGTTTGTTTGTTCGGTCGGTCTTTGCGTATGTTTTGCCCGTCCAGGAAGAAAACTGAGGACTTCAGGAGATAGGGAGAAAAGGATCAACAACAGGTCAAAATCTACCGTGATAAGCATTGGGCTCTTGACTGGGTGGGTGGCACCCATGAGGCCGGATTTGGCGCTATAGTTTTCTTGACGAAAGACGGAGGTCTGAATTGGTAATGTTGTGGTGGCATAATGAAGTCCGAGGGCGATAAGGTGACGACGGAGAAAGGCAAGGTTGACGACAGAGAGTTGAGGAAATTTCATCTCACTTCCGTTTACGATGAACAGGGCACCGACTGGGTCGACGCCGACAAGAAAGTCAGCCTCGACCTAGCCCTATTCAAAGGGTACGGTCTGAGGGCATTCGGTATGAAACCTTTCGAAGCGAAGGGGGATGGAAGTGAGTTTCGGATGGTTCATCCGGTGGATTTCCTGAACAAAACAAACAGCTATAGAAAAAGTGTTCAATACCCGAAGGTAGATGCCGGTCATCAGTTCACTGGACCGCTTGTCCCGTACGACACTTCGGTCCAGGGTGTCGCTGGCGTTTTGAAGTCTTGTGGGGAAGTAAGCCATGTGCCTTCGACTTCTCAGCAACATTCAGACGTTGCTCAGAAGGTAATTACGTACTCCAGGCGGTAGGGGGCAGGTTCATCGGATAAGGCTGCGAAGAGGAAGCAACTCGCCACAACTCCACCGCAACTACAACGACCTGCTGCGACTACTGGCACTTCACGCTCGCGGAAGACGGATCTTCAAGCCGTTGACCAATGGTCTGAGGAGCAAACGGAAACGGAGGAGGATGTTGGGTTCCGCGGACGGGACGTGGGGTCCTTGGAGGACTCACGACACTGGGGCGCCGGAGGAGACAGCGAAGGGAACGTGGAACTCGAAGAACGTCCTGGTGGCAGTGGGCGATGCGATAACGATTGTTCGGATGAGGAACACAATGAGAGGGAGCAAAGTGAAATGGGTGCGTCGAGTGGTGGGCCACACAATGACATGGAACAAAGTGAACGAATGCAGAATGAGGATGAGCAGGACGATGGAGGGGATGGCGATGTAGAAACGGGTGGGGCTTCGAAGAGTAGGGGTAAGCGGAAAGCAAATGCATCCCGAACACCAGCAGCGATGAAGAAACGAGTCAGAAAAGAAGTTGTGGATGATGCTCGATATGCCTTGGATGCATCACAGGAAACGCTTGGCGAAGCCGCCAAGAAACATAAAGAAGGCATCCGTTTTCGCAAAACATCGCAACCGAAGAGGGCTGCACGCTCATCAAGGCTTCCCAAGTCAGATGATTCAAGCGACGACGCTGAAGGGGTGGGCCCTCGTCGGCCTGACCTCAGTGTCGAGGACGAAACGAAAACGAAGAGGCCCCGTGCGGTCGACATGGCACAGTGCTTCTTTCTCGAGTACGATGGAGACGACAGGAAAATAAAAGACGTGCCAAGGGTTTGCATAGATGTCATGTCGATTTTTTCGATTCCCAAGGGGGATATCGTATTCAACCAGCGGTCGCTGAACAAGGCAATTGTTGCAGGTCTCGATGCATTAATTGATAGGTCCACTGCTCAAAGGGGTGTGGATGATGATGCTTCGCGGGAACCGTCGGAGTTGATACTCGCTCCAATTACGCCTTGTGTGAATGAGCCCAATGTCCAAGGAACACGTATTCTTTCGGAGGACTTTGATTGGAGGCGTGCAAAGGAATACTTCTATTACCCGGTTGCTGAGCAGCACACCGCAGAGGTCATAAAAAAAGTGGTACGTTGGGGATCTCCTGCTTTTGCCATTTACGGTTTGCACGATTATGACCGCGTGCGCGTTGTTTACTTTGACGACGATCACAAACACGGGTATTCGGTTGTTTCGACATACGACAACACGAGAGGTGACCGTGCCATGTTACCGTCGTTCCACCAGGCGTGTGAAGACATAAGAGGTTTTTGGCGGTTGAAGAATTACATCGAGCCTGTGGGTTTCAAGGTAGCTGAGAACGACATCAACGGTAAAATGCACCAGGAGACGTGGCAGAAATTCATGAGGGTTTGCATAATCCGGTCATGTGAAAAAAGCCTCTGGACTGAGGCCTTGCATCCAAAGTGGCAGCCCGACTGGTCGAACTGGATGAGAGGATACATGAACGTGGCGACGTGTAAGAGGTGGATATGGCCGTTGGTGAAAGAGTTTTTTTAGAAGTTCGAAGCAAGAGAGTTGCCACTTTACGATGGCAGGTGCCCTAGAGATATGCCGGGAAGGCAAGAGGGGAAGCTTCCGGGGCAATATACGGAAGAAGTCAATGGGAAAAAGGAGGGGTTCCATTGCATCGCGACTAAGGATGGGGGGCATGGAGCCACCGTCATCTTCAAAGATCTCGTTCCATCAAACTTCAAATGCTTTGGAGATATGACGGCGCGAGAGAAGGAAGTCGCATTGAGGTTGATGATCAACAAGAAGGTCATAGCCACCGCTAGACAGGTTCCTACGGGGAAGTTGAACATGAACAACCTCCTCGACATTATCATGCGAGAGAGGTACATGATGCGTCTCTTCGACTACATCGTGTTCAAATCGGAGAACAAAGAGAAGGACGATTGGAACCAAGAGTTCTTCTTCGATTACAAGGGCATGACTGAGAGGTACGGTGTCACAGCGGAAGCATGGGACGAGGAAAGGGATAAAATCCCTTTGGAGTACGTTAGGAAGGTTCCAAAACGACTTGGTGGCGACCAAGAAATGAAAGGCCTGAAAGGAGCAGGGTTGAAGGCCACAGAGGCATTGTATAAAGATGCACCTTTTCATTTTAAGGTCTTCGTGTACCCGGCGATAAGAAAGGTGGATTTGCTCACGGCAGAGATGCGGCGATTCTCAAATGCTGCGCTTCACCTGTTGTGGGAAGGGAACGGGCGACGAGCAACATTGCTGTCGATTAATATGCACCCAAAGGAGCTGCTGCCTGCGCAAGACGAAGTCGTTACCGCTGCCACAAACCTTAATTGCAAGGCCACGATCTTGGATCTCGCATTACCGTCACATTGCTCTGCGTGGTCGCTTGAGGACTTCGACGCTCTATACAAAATGATGTCAAAGTTGTGTGGCGAGAATTTGACATTGATCGTCTTCGCGCCACAGAAACATCACAAGACCGTCATGCGACACCTCTACAATTGGGAGAACGTTGAGGTGATACCAGGCACTTGGAAGCGCTTTATGGGGGTCGGAACGCCTGTCAATAAATATGGGAATATGCAAATTGAGAGTAAGGACACGATGACGATCGTCCTGCATGCCGAGGGAGGCGACCTCAGAAAGGTTACAAGAGTGTCGCGCTCAGAAGCGGACATTGTGGAAGTAAACGTCGTGGAACAATTTTTTAAGAGGTGTGCAGCAAAGCATGGCGGCGATGAAGGCAATGAAAAAGAGGAGTATGAGCGTTGGGAACAAGAGCCGCAGCGGCTACAAACCTTATGCAACTCATTTCTGCATGAGGACGAAGGGGTTATAGTCCTTGGGAAGCCACATAGTGGCCTTGTGTGGGAGCTTTTGCGCGCGGGGAACCATGTATTTGCGTGCGATGCATTGTCGAAAGACATCGCATATTTGACAAAGGCCATCGAAATAATCGCCAAGGATCCTCGAAACGATTGCACCATCGAGAAACATAAGAGCACACAACGCTTGGACAGGGACATGTACCACAAGTTGGGGAAGAAGAGAGAAAAAATGTGGGAATACTTGTTCGAGGGCGACCCCAAGACTGCATTCCAGCACAAGTAGATCTATCGTAAAGCGATGACACAAGAAGCATATGATGTTTACCACAAGGCAGAGGTGGGGGCATTTGCGTTGTTTGTGGCGCGATGCGACGAGCTAAAGTTCATGAGACATTGCAGCAAGTTGACGTACAACGACTATAGTGACGTTGCACGTAGAACAGATGCATGGAATCCGATTGACAGCGATGAAGAGACTGAGACCTCGGACCTTGAAATCGACCTACGGGTTAAGCGTTCTCGAGATGGTGCACATGGTCGTGAGGGAGTGCAAAATGTTCTGGACGGCAGCGTGCAAAACGAGAACCCTGAAGGAGGTGTGCAGCAATTTGGACCACTGAGCACTCATGTGGTTGACACGCAGGACATGGCAAGTTCCGCTGGTGAATTCCCAAGGGATTCACCGACACCCATTCAAGCCGTAATTAACACCCTGCTTCACGACAATCGTTACGGGTATCAAGGAGAGAAGAGGTCCATCAGACGAATGTCTGGAGGGATGAGGATGAACGACGTGCGGGAAGACGCCGACGAGGATGACTTGGTTGTTCCAGGTGTCTTCCCGAAGTTGACGCCCGGTGATGATATTCCAGAAAGCTTCATGCAGGGCTCCACCTCGCCCTATGTATTTCATGACGTGCGGGAAGAGACGTCGTCAGAGAAGTGAAGGCATCACATACTGTGGCACCTAGATGTGTTCGAACCATGCATTGACGAGGGGAAGTGGGCAATGGCACTGCATCTGAGGGATGGCTGGAAAGTCAAACCCAGGATGGCAGAAGATTCATGGTTGAAAACCACAAACGGTGAAATCCTATTACGCGTTACGAAGGAAAACCATGGTGTCGATGAAGTCCTTATATGCGTGAAGGCCCAATCGTTGTTCGAGTCTCTACGTTCCAACAATCGCTTGGAGTACAAGCATCAGTTTTATGACTTTCCATCAAGTCGGTTGTATAACAAAATCGATTGGAAAATCGTACAGCCTCCCACATGCCACGGGCTCGATAGCATTCCTATTGGATGTTCGCAGCTTGCGGCAATGTTGCAGACTAACTTTGCAGTGAGTGCAGAAGAAGCGCATAGTCAAACGCGTGTCGCAGCAAACGACACAGAGAAGGGAAACACCCTTCTTCAAGGAGATGGAGAGCGGACGACTACGGGGGTTAAGGGAGCTCCGGCGGCTCAGGCGGTCGAACAAAAATCAAATGTTGCATCATACGGGCCTCCGCTTGTGACACAGCTGGGAAACGAAGGGGCATCGCAAATGGAGAGTCCCACTCGTTCAGTGGAGGATGTGGTTGCGAAGGCGATGCAACCAAGTGTGTGTACAGAATTTGTAGCCGAGGCGAAATAAAACTCAGACGAGATGATGAAACTATTGAATGATGTGGAGAGGGAAGAGAAGAATAAACTCGAAAGGTCCAACACATCGGCCAATGTGATCAATTGCGTTTCCGAAAGCGAGGAAGGGCAAGTTGCACATGCAGAGGGGGATGCTGGCGGTGAAGATGTCGGGGAAGATAACAAGGAGCAGAACGAAGGGGACGAAGGAGAGAGATCCGTAAGACGTTCGACAAGAGAAAAGGCAAAAACACAAAGGATGAATATGTAGAGACATGAACAGGGTTGTGTGTATGTGTGTGTGTGTGTGTGTGTGTGTGTGTGTGTGTGTGTGTGTGTGTGTGTGTGTGTGTGTGTGTGTGTGTGTGTG